ACTCATCATCATCCTCCTCCTCCTCATCGTCTTCTTCTTCTTCCTCGTCATCTTCCTCTTCGTCATCATCCTCCTCCTCTTCCTCGTGCTTCTGCTTCTTCGCTGATGGTGACTCGTGCACCTCCTCGATACCTTCGTCCGATGACTCGATCTCTTCGGAATCTGAATCTCCACTGCTTGCCTTTAAGGCTGCTGTTTTTCGCTGCTGCACTTGTTTCGACTGTTCTGAAGACTTCTGTGCACCATTGACTACTTTTGTTGTCTTCTTCTTATCACTATTAGCCGTAGCATTGCTAACGGTTGCTGTCTTTGTGATTGCTTCTTTTTCCTTTGCAGCTCCACCTTCCATCACCTCACTGGCCGTTTTACCTGAACCATCGTCAATTCATTAGCAAACATCAACAAACTAGTGTTGGGAACCGCAAGATTTTCCTCGGTGGTCACCGATCGAGAGCCCTGTCGTTGGTCACCATAAATCGGTATTCACCGAAAGGCAAATTTTGAGCATCGGGCGGCTGTAACCACGAGGCGGTTTGCCACCGCCACCGACCGAGCACGCTCTCTCGGTTGCGGCCGGTGGTCACCGCAACTCGGTATTCACTGATCGCATAATTTTGAGCATCGGTCGCCTGCCGACCGGTTGTAACCGCCTGGTGGTTTGCCAACAGCAAAAAACGTCAAAAGAAACATGGAGCAAAAAGGAACAAATATCTACAGGAAGCAACCCGGTACCCGGACAATTAGCCTAAAGACGTTTTGCCTAACGGACAGTTTGGGTGGTCACTGACGGGTCGGTGACCACCGCAACTCGGTATCCATCGAGAGGCAAATTTTGAGCATAGGTCGGTTGGGGTTCAGTTGTAACCGCGGGACGGTTTGCCACCGTCGTCGACCAAGCCAGCCTTGTCGGTTGCGGTCGGTGGTCACCGACGGGTCGGTAACCACCGCAAAACCGTCAGTGATCACCGACCGATTTTCGATGGTCACCGAGCCAACACTACGACAAACCATTATCCACTAAACAACTTACCCTTTTTAAGCCTTGCATATAGCACATCCACCGGTGCACCACCAATCTGAAGTGTTCGCCCTTTCTCGAACGCCGCTTTTGCATCTTTTTCATTGTCGAATTTCACGAAACAAAACCTTAAAAGGATCATGAACCACGTAATAATAGTTAACAGCAACAACGAGTATTATCAGTACATAATCAGATTAAACGACAAAAATTAGGCAAATAACTTACGGCTTATTTTTGGCCTTTGCGGGTGGTGGGAACGTGATTGAAGTAGCGCTACGGAAAAGTATTTTGATTTGATCTTTAGAGGTTGATGGTGGATAACCTCTTAAATACAGTTCTAACGGATTAATCGCTTCCTTTGTAAACTTTTGTTTTTCTCTTGCTGCTACGACGCGCTGGCCAGTACTCTTCGATTTCGAACCACAGAAGTCCACTTCGAGTCGTTTCCCTTTTACCGTTTCTTTGCAAATCTTTTCATAAGCCTTATCACAATGCTCTTCAGTCGCGAACATCAACCAGGCAAACCTTAATCATGCGTACAAATGATAACATCAATCAAAACATTTAATAAGACAAAATATAAAACACTAACGATCTATTCGGTAAGTGTCGTACAGCTACAATGTCGCTATGGAGTGTCTTCAGATCGGCTGCAGTTGTGCCATGACTAAAGCCACGGACAAACAACGACTTACGATCACGATCTTCTCGTCGACGCTCCTCTTCGTTCAGTAATTCCTTTTGCGTGGCACTCAGCTGAAAATAAACCAGATCAAACGGTGTCAATGCTTTCTCTTGATTGACTGATGAAGTATTTTGAAAATGAAATTTCGAAAACCATACACTTGAAAGACTCTCAAATGCTCGGTCTCGCTGATGTTGCGAAAATGAAGTTGTTATATTTGTTAAAAGTTTTTATACTGCATGCAAGAATGTTTCATAGGACGTTTAGGCTTACACAGCCATCATCAGACAAATTTCGACAGTTTTATGGATCAATGAAAAAATATTCTGATGGCTAGATTACGACTTTGTCTCTTATATAATTATAAAAATATAAGTGCAAGATTTCAAACAAAAACCTTGATAGTTTTGGATGGTGTTGCTCCAGAAGCTGAAATTTGTACTGGTCCATCAGCTTTCCGTTTCAGGTTCTCTGGATCAACTGTTGATGCTTTTGTTTTAGTGACAACGTTTTTTACAGCTTTTTTCTGGTCGATGACATTCTCCGTTTCTTCTTCTTCTTCGTCCTCTTCTTCTTCGTCTTCATCCTCCTCATCCTCTTCTTCGTCCTCCTCCTCGTCCTCCTCATCTTCATCTTCCTCTTCACTATCCTCCTCATCAAATTTCAGTTTTTGTTTCACTTGCTTCAACTGAGTGCCTTTTCGCTCTGCTCCACTTTCACCAATTTTAGCCAATGAACCAGGTTTTTTGCCTGGGTAAGGTGTGAGCGGTGTTTTAGCTTTTGAAGCACTTGCCGCCCCTCCTGCGGCAACTCCATCGCTCACTGACGACGCGCCATCACTAACGATGCTTACCTTTTTACCCGATTTGGTGCCTGGTGTTTTCAGAGCACTTTTCACTGCGTTTGATATCCCTGTTTTTGTTGGTGTTTTGGCTACAGATTTGGCTTGAAGATTCACTGAAATAAACAAATATGTAGCCTGCAAACGTCTAATATATTCACAATGAATACATGAACAAATACCATTCCGATTTCAATACGACTGATTATTGTGTAATATGAACGATTTGATACGAAACAAATTCGAATTACAAATGACCAACTAACCCATTTGTTCCTTTTCATCTTCCTCCTCTTCTTCTTCATCTTCCTCATCGTCTTCATCCTCCTCCTCTTCCTCCTCATCTTCATCCTCTTCACCATCACTATCTTCTTCCTCATCCTATAATTATCAAATTCTCACTTAAACAGTGTTCATAATACTACCGGTAAACTGTTACCTCAACTTCATCTGCTACCAATCTAGGTTTTTTTGCTTTAACACCGCCATTCATAACACCGCTAGTAACTTCCTTTTTTCGTTGCTTTATTGTTCCAGCCATCACCATTTCATCTGAAAATAATAACTTATATTATAATTAGAATAAAGTGAAATGAAAAATATACATAATTGAATAAAATCGATAAACTTTACCATCTTCCTCGTTTTGTTCTTCGTTCTCATCTGACGACGTTTCTTCACTCATCTCCTGTAACAAATCAGTAGAGTAAACTTAACAATAACAGTAATGGTGCCACGAAATCTAATTCATTTCACTTTAATGAATTTAAAATGAAATGAAAAACTCAAATGAAAAAACAATCCTATGAATGAAAAGATAAATAGATAAACCATCAAACAAAGGCATACTTCATCATCATCGTCATCATCATCACTACTCTCTTGTTGTTTTCCGGTTTTCTTTTCTTGCTGCTTATTTTTCAATTTGTTTTTCATCGCCAGTTTCCCTTTAATATCAGCATTATCACTTTTTGATTTACCCATTACTTTCCTCTTCAACGGTTTCTTCATCATATCTATATCTTTTGTCGTATCCGCTGTTGAGGGCGCACCTGAAGAATAAGGATACGAATATGGGCACTTTTTTAGTTTCGGGAGGG